GTTGCACGCATTTTTTAATAACATAGAACGAATTAAAGAAGTACAAGGCTATTTGTTATTTTGGATGGCCAGGAAGAGCAAGCGCTGAAAAACATGTAAAAATGCTGTAGAAAATAGTTGTGTTTGAACTTTGATCTTTCGCCCCTAGGTCCAACGTTGCTTCACGATCGTCGTCGCAGCACCATGGTGGCGTCGGGCCTCGTACGTCAACGAAGCCGTTGGCTCCCGGAAGAACGATTCGTGTCGTTTTCGGCAACGATCCTTCGACTTTAAGGGTGATCCTGGACAAAACATATGCATCCGAGCTTTGGCTGGCTGGCGCGGGCTACACACATGGACAGTTTCCCCGGTCCCCAGCCAGCATGATTCTTTTATTTTACTTTCAGCCGTGCTCCTGGACACGACGTACTCGATTCTCGGCCGGGCTCCCCCTCGGCTCCCGGCCCGCGCGACTATTTTCCCGTCCCGTAGGAACAAAGAGGAAAAGTCTCGGCGAGGAGAAGAAGCGGAAGGAAAGGATAGGTGGACCCTTCTTCCAACTGGGCTCTCTCGCATATGGTGCTCTTCCATCCCCGAAACTTTTCGTCCGCATGGGGGTGGCTATCTACCCCCGTGAACTCTGACCCCTCTTTATCTTATCTCACGGCCGATAGATAAGCACCGGCGATAAAGCTGCCGGACGAAATGAAGGCACGGCCAGCCGTGGATGCAGTCGCCATTCCTTAATTAAGTCCCGACGACCGTTTGTTCGGTTTATTGGCTTGTTTGCCCCGCTCGCTTTCCCTCGGTGACGAACGCCGTCCATACTTCCGAGTATTTATGGAATTGTTTCTATCTCCCTCTCTTGCTCTCTCTCCTCTCTCTTCCGTTTCGACCGAACCCACTCGAGTATGAAACTCGAATACTCGAAACGTTTCGTTCGCGGAATCTACGATCGTAAAACGGCAACCCCTTGCGCTACGATTTCTTTCGCGGGTGCATCGATTAACACGTTTCTCGATCGTTCTCCCGTTGCAACGATTTTCGTTTCTTGTCCTTTTTCGTCCACATTTATTCCCAGATTTTGATCGCAGAGTGACAATATATCTTTTTATGTATAATAAAATATAATAATATTTTTAATATCATAAAATATTCTTCGATTTAGAAGAAATAAATGAGACTCGCACTTAGTAGAGAGTTTTAACGAGATCTCCGTCACGAGTCTAACTCGTTGTTACAGTTTAAGGAGGGGGGGGGGGGGCGTAGATTTTAATATTATCCACAATTTTCGCGAAGCTGTTATTAAACATGTGTCCCAAACGATACAATTCTTCGAAACATTCCCATCGACGTTCGTGCTTTTAATCCGATTTTCGCAGATTATACTTAGCACTGTGATGTCCTCGGAAACAGTCGTGTACTCCATTTGGTTCGCCCGTTCCGTCCGCGATAATTATTTAGTTGGTTCACGCACGGTTGAAAATTGACCGCGTGTTCCGGCTGCTGTCGAGCGATCCGGTAGGCAGAAGGGCGAGAATAAAACCGAAACGGTAGAGAAGAAGGGCACCGGCGACCGGCGAAAGAGATACGAGATAGAGAGCAACGGCGAGGGGGAGGCAGAGCAGAAAAGAAGACCCCATTACGTATTCCTCTTGCATCCCTCTTGATCTCCCCGCATTTTTATTGCACTTGCCGCCGGTAAGAATATGTTTTATTTATATTTCATATTTCTCTTCGTGGCCGCCGCTGCTGCTGCGAGGTTTCGTGACCACGAGAAAGCTTGATTCCCCGGATTCGCGTAGGGTGACCACAGGATATCAAGGGGAATCTCTGCCTTCTATTTTTTCCTCCCTCTCTCTCTCTCTCTCTCTCTCTCTCTCTCACTCACTCACTCTTTCTCTCTCTGTGTCCTGGCCATCCCGCTCGAGAGGCGAGCAAGTTTTCAGNACGGTTGAAAATTGACCGCGTGTTCCGGCTGCTGTCGAGCGATCCGGTAGGCAGAAGGGCGAGAATAAAACCGAAACGGTAGAGAAGAAGGGCACCGGCGACCGGCGAAAGAGATACGAGATAGAGAGCAACGGCGAGGGGGAGGCAGAGCAGAAAAGAAGACCCCATTACGTATTCCTCTTGCATCCCTCTTGATCTCCCCGCATTTTTATTGCACTTGCCGCCGGTAAGAATATGTTTTATTTATATTTCATATTTCTCTTCGTGGCCGCCGCTGCTGCTGCGAGGTTTCGTGACCACGAGAAAGCTTGATTCCCCGGATTCGCGTAGGGTGACCACAGGATATCAAGGGGAATCTCTGCCTTCTATTTTTTCCTCCCTCTCTCTCTCTCTCTCTCTCTCTCTCTCTCACTCACTCACTCTTTCTCCCTCGCTTATCTGAACCCCGCGCCCATAATTTCAGCCCCTTTTTCACCCTGTCACCGATCGGAAATATTTGCGACGCTTTTGTCCAAGGAATTCCGCATTGACACACGAAATGATCCGCCCCGACCCCTCCCCAACGCTTCCGTTGATTAATTGGACGCGCGCCGTGTTAATTCATTGAAGCGACGATTTGTTGCTGTTGTTATGACCGCCGGTGTTATTCGCCGATTCGGTTCTGCGGAGGGGGACGCTGGTGTGACAAATTGGAAATTGCCGCGCGAAACGTAAGCCGCGCGCGGCCCGGCCCGGGCCGGGTGTCCCCGTTTCCATCGCGTTCCGTCGCGTCGGTGTTTGTTTGTCGCCGCGTTTAATTGGCCCGGTAACCGATCGCCGTTTAATTCTGGCCTGTCGTTTAGCCGGTCGGCGACAGACAGCGGCCCGCGATCCCGGAAAAGAGTTGAATCCAGCCGGAGTCGAAACGTCGCGCGGTTAGCGACGCATAAAGCCCGTCCGGTGCTTTGTCAGTTTCGGGAGGGGTGTTACACGCAATTTGCTACACTTTCCAGTAATGACTCCGTGGGACCCTCCGGCCTGTTTTATGGGCATCGTACCGGGTGTGCATAACTTACAGTCCAGTGGCTAAGAGAGAGAGAGAAAGAGAGAGAGAGAGAGAGAGAGAGAGAGAGAGAGAGAGAGCGAGGGAGAAAGAGAGAAAGAGATCTTACGTCGAGTGTAAAGCCGCCGAGACGCCGCGTAGCCGGAAACCGAGAAGTGAATCACATTTTCGAGTCGTAAAAACGTGTCTTCTGTCTCTCGCAGCGAACAGGCACGTTCCACCGAACGCCGAAGCACGAAACGGCGATCGATTGAATTTCATCCGGTTGCATCGTGCGGGAACGTTCGGCCTCGAGACGATTACGTCGCCGGACACCTTTCTCCCACAGTCGAGAGGACTCTGTTCTTCGTTCCACGAGGAACGGTAGCCTTCCAGGCGCGATATCCGCGAAGATTCGTCGAGGAGCCGGGAGATAGGACACCGTTCGAACGAGCATTCTCATCCAGCGGCCTGTGTTATCATTAAGATACGCATCGTGACCGTGTGAAAACGCAGCGGGCTCCACTCTCTTGCATCAGGAGATCGTTCGGCGAAGGAACGTGCGCTGAAAATGCTCGGCAGGCCGGGTAATGTCATTACACATATACGTGACGCGGACGTCCTACGCTCTGTTCCAGACGATACGAGCGAACGCCGGAAAGAAAGCGTGCGTGGGAATTTTGGATAATATGATAAGGACCCGTTTCGACTCGACACGACAAGACACGACTCGACTCGGCTCAGCTTGGCTCGGCTCGGCGCGAGATGCTCCATAGACTCGGGGAAATTCTTTATTCCAGTCGCACGCGCGCCGGCGTGGATTTGAAATTCTGCTGGCCCCCTTTGACAGAGGCCGGTTTCGAAACTACGAAGGCAACAGCTACGTAAATCAGAAGTTTGATACGTTGGACCGACCGGGAACCATAAATCACGACCAGGAAATTATATTCCCTGGAGAAGACGTGTCTCCTCTATGAAGGTCGTCGGATCTACTTCAGAATTAAGAGCGAGGGTCTCGGCCTTTCCACCTGTCCAATCACGTAAGCTCCCGAAATTTATGTCTCGGATACGGCTCGTCATCAACTGGAGCACCGAAACCATCTTTCTCGAATGATCTCGGATGATTTCGTCACTTCTCTCGGCCAGAATTTACATAATCGCGAGGAACATCGTTCAGTATTATTTTCTAACTAATTATGTCCATTGTGCAACCTTTATTTTTCTATAAGTTGTGCGAGCATTTATTTATGCGGAAAATTACAACAGCAAGAACAACAGAGTCGTCTTTCACGAATGATTTTGAGAGAATTCTGCTGTCTCGTGGGCCAAAATTCACGAAAATGTGAAGAACAAGAGCAGTAGTTAATTTATGACTAATTAGTTTCGCCGCACAAACTTTTGGATCGTTATTATTCAACAAATTATGCGAGCACTCATTTACGTGGAAAATTGGAATAATGAGAGCAACAGGGTCATCTTTCTCGAATGATTTTGAGAGAATTCTGCTGTCTCGTGGACCAAAATTTACGAGAATTTGAAGAACAAGAACAGTAGTTAATTTATGACTAATTAGTTTTACCGTACAAACTTCTGGATCATTATTTTTCAACAAATTATGCGAGCCCTTATTTACGTGAAAAAATTGGAATAGTAAGAGCAACGGGGTCATCTTTCTCGAATGATTTTGGAAGAATTCTGCTGTCTCGTGGACCAAAATTTACGAGAATTTGAAGAACGAGGATAATAGTTAATTTGTGACTAATTCGTTTTGCTGTACAAACTTCTGGTTCGTTATTTTTTAATAGAGTTTGCGAGCACTGATTGACGTGAAAAATTGACGAATAGATCGAAGCCTAAAGCAAATGGATAATCTTTCCTGAATAATTTTAGAAGAGTTCAGTAATTTTATGAGTTAAAATTGACGCAGATATAATGAGAAATGGTATTAGCTATTTTTTTTTTTATTAAGTATTTTCACTGTACATTCTTTTGGATCGTTAGCTGTCAAAAACTACAGTAGTACTATTTTGTGCGGGAATTTCTCGAGCTTACACACGTGGCGTAGTTGTCCGATGACAAGGAGTGATTATCAATGTTTACGTTGTGTATTTCGCTAAACCTTGGGTGCGACTTGTCCTTCTGACATTTATACAGGAAGCATGAAAACATATAACAGTAATTTAAAACGGTACTCGCATAAGTTTTATTGATCAGTGCTTGAAAGTCAGAGTGAATAATTTTGGCGCGACTGTTGCACGTGATACACCTGTCAATTGTTTCTCTTTCGTTGATTACCGATGATCGATGCTTTTAATTTATGTAATTACTGCAGTAATTGGATACGTGATTTACACTGTGATCAAGCTAAAGGCTGAAGAGTGGTTCGAAGAAATCAGGTTCGTAGTTACTCTCGTAATCACAATGAGGCGTTTGTATTTGGGGTTATGTTATGTTACTGCTTTTCTGCTACACTAGTGTTCTCAAGATCATTGTATCATTTTGTACGAGAATCTAAGAATTTGCTCTTGTATTTGTGTCCACAGAATGAGCAAATTGAGATTGAAGAAATATAATTTGAATGACGAAGAGTCAGAGATGCAGAATAGTACAGCGATCGATGAAAAACACACTATTGAGATTTCTAGTGATGAATCATCAGATGATATAATGGATCAGACAGAATATAATACAAATACTCTGCTACAGTTTCAAAAGTCCACAGACAGTGTGACAACCGACGAAGATGAGGAGGAGCCGATCTTTGCATCCAAATCGAATTTAAATAGCAAAGGTCCGATGTTTAGTTGGGGCCAGAAAAGTATAGGCTTGAAACAGAACAACGAGGCAGCGTACAGTGATTTTGATTCTGATGATGACAAACAATGGTACGATGTTAAAAAAAAGAAGTTAAAGAGACAATTAGAAACAGAATTAAAAACAGTATTAAAAACAGAATTAAAAACAGAATTAAAAACAGAATTAGAAACAGAATTACCAAATACAAGCGAAGGGAAGGCTGCGTGTCCTGAAGTAATACCGCACTACGAACAAATGATTGCTGGAATTAAAGTGAAGCTTCCTGTGAAGCCGTACTCCTGCCAGATTGCAGTGATGAATAAGGTAATAACGCAATGATCTTTGAACAGCATTTAATCAAACATATCGTTCAGAAATTTTAATTGCTTCTAAAATTCTGTTACAGCTTATACAGGGTTGCACAAAAGGAGAGAACTGTCTTCTGGAAAGTCCTACGGGAAGCGGAAAGACCCTGGCCCTGCTCTGCGCAGTTCTTGCATGGCACGATCGTTATTCTGGTAAGTCAATAATATATCAACGCATGTATCATGCATGAGGCAATTTGTTATTTGTATCTGCCTGTTTGGAATTGTGTGACCACGCGACAGAGAATAATTAGCGGGAGTTAGTCCGCGAAATATTCGGGAATTATGCGAATTTTCAACGTTAGGAGCCATCGTTCTCGGACAACTTTATTAAACTTTCGTTGATCCTCGCGACGTTCCCCGTCAGAAACTTGAAACACTCTTCTAGATAATTCCTCAGCGTGTCACGGCAACGTCCGCCGCTCGTGAAAGATGCAAAATGATCGCGCAGAGTAATTCCTGCGTCTAAATTGGCCGCTGTCCTCCGCCGCTAGAAACTTGCGACGCGTTCGAAACTTCCCCGAAACTTCTCCTCTTGTCGTCTCGCGAAATACGAGCTTAATTATTTAAAGAATTCGAACGTCACCGACTTAAACAACATATGAACAAAATCGAACATATACAGCATAATTACAGCAACTTGCACACTTTCCAAATATCATAGATTGCATCAGCGGACTGGTTAATAATTAACGATTCGAATCGCAGTCATAAATAAGGGATAAATTTGATTATTTCAAACCATTCGTTTAGATCTGTATAAATAATAAGTAATTATTTCTCTTTTATTTAAACCTCAAAATAAAGAATCACTTTGTTACAATCATTTCATTGGAGATTTTATACGAGTATCGCCCAACTCTGATCGCGGGATACAGAAAGAAAGTTTCTGTATAAAAAAATCACACCGTTTTCCACTGTGTACACAATCGAGTAAAAAAATGATTTTTGAGGGATCCGTGGATTTCGAGTGATCCTTAACGAGGTAGTGAAGTGGTCGCGTGACCTCCGCACGGAGGATCTCTCTCGCATGCGGCCGCGAACGCCGCGGATTCCACGATCGGGGATCTTTCATGCGCGGGATCACGTGGCCAGATATCAACCGTGTAATCAACGAGTCCCAGCCGCGGACAAGAACATTAAAGAAGTTCTCCGTTGTCGTACAGCGGAGAACCGGCTATTAGGCATCCGAACCATCGTATTAATTTAAATTATTCAACCTTTCTCCGCGGGGTTTCCGTGTCGGCGGCGTGCATGCGGCTAATTGGCCGCGATTCGCGCAATTCCTAAACAATTAGACTCGAATGCTCGCGACGCTGCGGCCCCGCCGCGGCGGGGCCGTCCTTGGCGGTACCAGCTCGCGAAAGGGGGACGTCTTTTTGGCGAACGCTCGCTGGAAACGTAATTTCGCGGGACAGCGGGGCAGCCTCGATCGCGAGTGCTCTCCGGTTATTATTTCGGATTTGCATAATACTTTTGCTCCCTTTGTCGCAGTGGTTGCGCAACGGGAATGATAATTCACCGTCTGGAACTTTCCTGGCTGAACTTTGCCAGCTCGGTCAGTATTTCGTGGCCGGGAAGACAGACACGTCGGTCGTTTTCGCAAAAGTCAGTAATTCGAGAGAGTGAGAGAGAGAGAAAGAGAAATCGGTTCGAACCGCTCGACGGTTTATTATTATCTTCATATCGGTCCATTCTCGTTCATTTGGCAATTTATCCGGGACACGGAAGCGGTTTAACATTGTCCTGCAGTTTATTCCTTATAATAAAATTATTTTATTAAAACTATACAGAAAATATTGCTACTATCATGAGAATTAGTGATATAATATATAGTAATTGAAGTATAAACAATATATACAAATTCTGTGAAACGAAATAAATAGGGGTAGCACTTTTTACTCCAAGCTTATCCTTATCTTAAAAGAAATACAAAAGGAAACATTAAAAATATTGGAGAAAACATTTGCTAGTAAATAATTTCCCCTAGATTTTATTTCATAATTTATTTGACAGTTATCGATATACTTTGAATATTATAATGATTATTGAATTTCCTTATTGATTGCAAGTGGCCCACCCCTTTACATATCAGCGTACCATACAATAAGATAAAATAAGATAAAATAAAATGCGACAACTTGTATAACGAATTCAAAAAATATTATAAAATTGTACCATTTTCTCCGGATATTAATACGTATCGATGTGAAATATCTCGCCGCTCGAAACTCGAATATTTCTCCCTCTCTCTCTCAATTATCATTCTCCTCGTGCCCGTTCAAGAAGTCCCGGAATTGCGGCTTTTTTAATCCTCGAACCGATCGCTGAAAATCGGCCACGGTTCATCGACGATTCCTTCGCTTTCGATAAGGGGGAGAGTCGCGTCGTTCCCGGTGATTCGTCAAGGGTGGCAAAGTCTCTGATTCAGAGTCCGCTCGGTGGGGTCGCGTATCGCGACAGGATCTTAATATACCGACGCAGATGCCGTGATCGGGCTGTGCCGTGGAGATGCGTAATCCAAATCCTTCCGTGGAATTAGACGAACACCCGCGGAACTCCACTTCTCGAGCAATCGACCTCTCCACCCTCGCCAGGCCGTGATTCGGCCTGGAAAAACGTGATCGATTCGCTCCAATCTCGGCCGGTGGTTATGCACTAACAACTCCGCCGGCAATTTATTTCGGCGAAATTTCCTAGCCGTTCCATCCGAAGCCTCGTTAAACGTGAACTATACTTGCCGGCGAACTTTTCTACATTATAAAGTCTCGCGGTGCATGTATCGAAACAATTTTTACCATTTTTACGCTGTGTTTGGTACCGATCTATCAACCGTTGCGTTTGAACCAGCTGTTTATGTCAGTCGATCTCGAACGTGCTCCGCGATTTTTACAACGAAGAAAACTGTCTGGTAAAGAGTTTGTTTTCATTTTTGCAGTTTCGTCGTCACGTCTCTTGTTTATTTATTTGCTCGTTTATTTGGCATAGGCGTGCCAGGTGCACTTTTAATTTTCTACCGAGATACAATGTAATTATAATAATAAAGTAATAATGATAATAGCGATAAAATAGTAATAATAATAATAATAGTAATAGTAATAAAATAGTAGTAATAATGAAATAATAATAGTAATGAAATAGTAATAGTAATAACATGATAATAATAGTAATAAAATAGTAACAATAGTAGTAATAATAATACAATAACACTAACAATAGCAGAATCAACATAAATGATAATAAATAGTCCAATAATACAAATAAATAATCCAAAGTGTAATCAGCGCCGGCTCACTGTTAAATAACAGCGACAAATTCCGGCTCCTTTTTCGCATAAACTACGTTTCGTCGAGTGCTCGATTTTTCCGCGGAACATCGTCCTGCGCGATTATAATGGGATTCTCTTAAAACAACTCGCGTTCGATCGGATTCCGAAGGGAAAAATTCGGGGGTGCCCATTCTACGTCTGAAGGTTGCTCGTTTCCCGCGAAATGGCGAGCGGCTCGGCGACCCCCAAGACCCGTCGCTGCCGTCAAATTAAACGTTCCCCCGACGTTGAACGTCGAATTCGCGTGCCCGTCAGCGACGTCTGTCTCTTGTTTCCCGTCCGCGGCGACGATACGCGGCCAGGAACCGAGTGGAACAGCACGTCGGCCGCGTTCCGCTTCCGGAATCACGCACGTCCTCTCGGTTTTCTCGGCGCGGCGCGGCGCGACGTCGCACGGCGCACCGCGTCCCCTGGACAAAAATCGGTTAAAAAAATCGACCTTTTTCTCAGTCGGCAATCTTTGAGTCTACGAACGCGTTCCAACGAGGCGAGGCAGGAAACTGGGGCATGTTTAAACAAATTACAGTGTCCCGAACGTAGCGTGTCGCTTGTTCGACGATCAGACTGCGGATCTTTGCGCGGAATAAAAATTGTTTAAGTTACGATTATTCACATCGTAACGATGCATCTTATGAGTTGTTTATAGTTATTTATATTCGGCTGTTTTTTGTGCTCCGTGAATCTAGAGCGTTAACGAGCACGCGACACGATTTTCGGCTCTCGCGCGGATAAACGACGGCGCGATCGTCACCTCGCCGTCGCGTCGTCTCATCCGTCCGGTGGCGAAGATAGTTCTTCGAAGGAGCACCGAAGACTTTCGAGACTTTCGTCGGTCGTCGGCGTTTCATCGTCGTTCTAAAAATGCCGCGATCGTTTCGCCGCGAGTCGTTCGTTAGTTCGTCTCCAATAAATTTCGCTGCGCTGTCGGATCGAGCTGCATGTCTGGCCGTAATAAAATTCCTGCCGGGAAGGACAGAGGAGTTGAGAAATAAGCGGGGGGGAGGGGTTGGCAGAGGAGAGGCTCGGGAGATTCGAGAAACAGGGTCGTATCGCGCGACACTCGATGCCTCGATACGTTTCGCGGCACGCATTCGTAATTAGGCGGACGAGAAAATACGGAGGCCCGATTAGCGTTAGTCATGACAGCGAGGAGAAGGAGACGATCGTCCCCAACCCCCTCCCCCGTTAGCCTAACTGCACGACATTTCTTTCCTGCGCGACTCGAATTTGCCGCGACGCTTTAAAAGCTGCCGGCGTCACGCTCCGCTCGAGACGAAAGTCGAGTGGCACTGCTAGCCACCGGGGCTGGAAACATCGAGAGACGAATAAATTAGGTCCTCGGAATCGGGAATTATTTATCATCGGCCGTGGTCGATAGTCCCGTGCCCCCCCCCCTCCCCCCAACAATGTCCAATAACATTGTTCTTCGCGCGAGTGCCATTTCGAAGGGC